TTCATAAAATTCTGATCCTCCATTTGCGAGGGGGCCATTCACCTAGCCACGGGCTCCCAATCGGCACATCTCCTGTGCCAGGTGAGCACAACGGGCTCACCATAGCCCGTGCTGCTCGGAACTTTTTATTCCGAGTTGCTGACTCTAAAACAACTTACAACTCCCCCAATCTCAAGTCTTCTTTTGTACTTGTGACGCCAATTCCTTCCGTTTAAGCGTGGGTACCGGGTCCCCGGCTCTGCTACTTGTGTATATGCTAAAATAATTCGAAATACCTATTGTTCCTGGTGCTGAAGACTCGGGCAGCTTTCCGAATGGATGGGATTTCACTGTGCGGCTTTTTTGCCAGTTATTGGATGGAACTCGGGATCAACAGGTTGGTTTCTACAGTAATTATTACCTTTTTTTAATAGCCTCACTTAGTTTTGATGTGCTCAGTGCCAATGACATCGCTTTTGTGGGGTTGGTCACGTTACTGTAAAAAGAAATTGGCCAATACTTCTTTCATCTCTTCTCTCTCTCTCTCTCTCTCTCTCTCTCTCTCTCTCTCTCTCTCTCTCTCTCTCTCTCTCTCTCTCTCTCTCTCTCTCTCTCTCTCTCTGATCTCTCTCATCTCCCTCCTCTTATATCCTCCCATATTCCTTTCCATTTCTGTCATTCTCTCCTCCCTTTCTTCCCTTCTCTTATCTAATCCCTCTCTCCTCTCGAGTTTCTCTCTTTTTACCTTTCCCTCCCCTCTCCCTCTTTCCTTTTCCTTCCCCCCCCCCTCCTCTTCTCCACATGTCCATCCTTTCCCAACTCTCCCTACCTTTCCATTTCCACTCCTTTTCTCTACATCCCATTACCTCCAATCTCTTCCCAACCCACCTCCCCTCTCCCAGTTCCTCCCTTATCTCTCCACCCCATCACACTCTTCCCCTATAACCCCTCCCAACCCAAACCCTTCACCCCTCTCCCTTCCCACCACACCCAAACTATCCCCCTACCACTACACCCCAGACCTCCCCCTATAATCCCATACCACTTCCTATCACTGCTCCCCTACCACACCCATTTCTTCCCCCCCCTCTATCACACCCTTCCCTCTACCCCCCCCCCTTTCCCCAAAACCCCATCTCCCCCCCCTCCTAACCCCTCCTAGCCAGAAGATGGTGAGAGAAGCAGTATTGAAAGGAAGAAGATTTTTGCCACGATCCATCACTGTCTTGGACGCCGCCGACTTTTGCTATAATTCCCTTGAAGTATTTCTCCATTCTTGCCCCCTCTTCCTCCTCCCCTTCCCCCCCCTACCATCCTCTTCCCTGCCCCCTTCCCCTCTCCTTCCTCGCTAGCCCTCCAATTAAACGCTCCCTTAGCTTCCCCACCTGACCCCATGCCATCCCACTCTCCCTTTCCCGCTAAAATTGGAAAAGGGGGGGGTTCCATACATCTCTCCTCCAAACTCCTTCTCCCTTCACAAAATTCTCTCACCTCCTCCCGTTCTTTAAGTTCTTATTCCCCCTTCCCTTCACCAAACCCCCTCTTTCCCCCTCTTTCCTTTAAATCCCCTCTCCCACCTCCCCCCTTCAAACCCCTTCTCCCCCTCCCTACCCCCCTCTTCCCCCCGCTACCCATCCCCTTTTCCTATCGTTTCCCTTTATCTTTCCTCCTCACAATACCCATTCCCACCTCTCCCCTTTCCACCTTTTCCCATTCCTCCCCTTTCACCTTCCCATCCCCCCACCCCTCTCTCTCCAAACCTCTAAACCCACCTTTCTCCCTTTCCACTACGGCAACCCTTCCCCATTACCTACCCCTTACCTCTTTCTCCCTACTCCTCCCCTACCCACAAACCCCACGGATCCACCCTTCACCTACCCCTTCCCTACTGTTATAGGAAGCACTCATAGACCACCCTGCACCTTGTGCTCAAAATAATATATATATTAAATTTCACATCATATTTCTACAAACCAGATTATTTTGACACAAACATTTGCATGGGTGCTCCAGCCTATGTTTCGCTTTGGATTTTTTTCCTTCTTTATAATTCATGGTAAGATAATTAATTTTCCCCAGAGGAGTGTTGTTGATCGTGGAGTTAAAATATATTGTTTTGTACGAGGATAACAAGTGGATGGAACTTGGGGGTGACGTCTGTACAGCCATCACTCAGATGGAAGTGTGGTTGTGTCTGGCCTACGGAACTGGGTCACTGGTCATGTGGGCTGTACAGCCATCACTCAGATGGAAGTGTGGTTGTGTCTGGCCTACGGAACTGGGTCACTGGTCATGTGGGCCACTCTTCTAAACTAGTCTGATGTAATTAAACCATTTAAGGAATATACTGCTTATGTTTTGCTGCAACATGGTATACTCAAATGCCAAGTATAATATATTATACTCAAATAATATTATTATATATAATGACAGTGTCAGACCAGGGAGGAAGAATTGAAACAGGAATTTCCTCAAGTACTTTCGTATTTCATAAAACATCTTCAGAAGGGTGAAGATGGAGGGACACTTTTCTGGAGATGTATTATTAAATGCGAAAGTACTTAAGGAAATTCCTGTTTCAATCCCTCCTTCGTGGTCTGACACTGTCACATTTTTCATCACGTGTTGATGAAACGCGTGATGTTTCTGACTTTCCAACAAAAGGACGTTATAAGAGAAATTAAAATACAAATCACATCCAAAATGAAAGGAAAGGAACCCATAGATTACCACAGAGGATATGTATAAACACCAGAGTCCAGGATTAATAAAGCATTTGCGTGTCCACTGAAGAAACCTGTACATCTTTCCTCAGTCATAGTGGCTTAGTTTGTATATGTTAAACAGTTTACGAGCACTAAAGTACTAAGAGGTTGCCCATAACGATAATAATTTAGAGTCGAGTACGACCTCGCAGCGTTTCCAAACTCGTAAACTGTTTAATACAACGTCACCATGATGGAAGAAAGATGTATGAAGTCAACGTGTAAATGCTTGATAAATCAAGGCCCGGCACTTGTACCACAGTATATGACGCTAACACTTCTGCCGCTCGCTTACAGAATGGGTTTGGAGGTCCATAATCAACAAACACTTCCAGAAACTTAAAACTTGACACAGGCCTTTCCATTTCTCACTCAGGAGACACCGGCGAAATAAATGTACCAACTTCTGTAATACTTCTCTCGCTTGTATATACTTTAACATAAATAAGAAAATATCGAAATACGGAGTGTCTTATATATGAGGTTTATTTGCTAAGTTGTTGCGAAGTAATTCCTCTTATCGTGGACAAGAAACTATATATTCTTGTCGAGGTCTCAATAGGCCAATTACTGACCTTAGATGCAATTAGGAAGCAAAAACGACATTGAGGTTTTAAAAGGAGATCTACATGACCTCCCACACATGGCAAGAAGACTGGAAAGTGTTTTATAATATTGAAAAAGACAAGATCTTGCATGTAGGGCATCACATTGCACATCACAACTATCGTATCAACACTTTTTTTTTTTTTTAGCTATATACAAGAGTTGTTACATTCTTGTACAGCCACTAGTACGCGTAGCGTTTCGGGCAGGTCCCTGGAATACGATCCCCTGCCGCGAAGAATCGTTTTTTCATCCAAGTACACATTTTACTGTTGCGTTAAACAGAGGCTACAGTTAAGGAATTGCGCCCAGTAAATCCCCCCGGCCAGGATACGAACCCATGACAAAGCGCTCGCGGAACGCCAGGCGAGTGCCTTACCACTACACACGGAGACTTCTACCATGCAGCAGCTTAGTGAAGAAAAGGACCTAGGAGTTAAGATCCACCAGTCATTGACAGATGCACAACAAGCTGCAGTAAAAAAAACAAAGCTAACCAAACCTCAGGAATAATTAAACGAACTTTTGACTTAAGGCAAAGATAATAGTTGTTCAACTGTAATAGTCACTTGTGCACCGCCGTCTGGGCTACTGTAACCAAGCGTGGATATCTCATGCAGACGAGGAGTCACAATAACGTGGCTGAAATATGTTGACCAGACCACACACTAGAAAGTGACGGGACGACGACGATTCGGTCCCTCCTGGACCATTCTCAAGTCGATTGTGTTACTGATAGGTGAACAGAGTGACCAAGTGGAGAGAAACGAGTCCAACCGTCTCTGTCTTGTGTGGAAATCGGAATCGGGACCCTCGGTTGTGAGCCGACGACGTAGACCATTGTGCTATTTAAATAGATATAATAAATAAATATCGCAGACAATAACCAATAACAGTATGGAAATATTTTAGCTACCCATAAAAGAGCAAGCTTCATTTTCTATATACAAATATCCTTTCAGAGAAAACAGCAAAGTGTATTAGGGTTAACTATAACTTATGAGAGACATTAGTTAACTTGCTGGGTGCAGACCATTCACAATATTTATTAATATTCAATAATATTTTATATTATTGAATATTATATATACACAATATTTTAATAATATTCACAATATTTATTTTCACATATTTCCCGTATGCTTATTTGAACACACACAAACTTATAACCGTGTTGAACTATTATATATATATATATATATATATATATATATATATATATATATATATATATATATATATATATATATATATATATATATATATATATATATATATATATATATATATATATATATATATATATATATATATATATATACACACACTGTATCCCTCTTTCTTGCTTGTCTACAACGAGAAGCAAGGTACACCTCTCATTTTATAACTCTTTCACACCCTTGAATAAGGAAATTGTTAGCAAATTTACGTGTTAAATATATTCGTCGCCATTAGCTGACAGTACACTGTGATCCAGCTACAGGACCTATTGTTTGTGAAAGAATCCCTTCGGCTAATGCCCACATACAGGAAATGGTGGCCTTAATCAACAAATTTATTTAACGAGGCCCCCAAGGCAGTCAACACGACACATGATTGCCAAGGGGCACAGCCATCCAATCACAACTCTCTTTCCTCCTCCTGCCAGCCAATCGCCACCCGGCAAGCAGCCATCCCGCAGTGACGTCACATAGTCGTCACCGCCAATCCTGCACAGATTTCAGCGTTTATTTTGAGGTTACCCGATTTGTTCCCCAAAAATACTACACAAGGAAACATCATGGCGAACAGATCTACGTTAAAGGAAGGTAAGGGTTCGAGGTCCGACATTGCCAGGATTAAATATTGATTCGGTGGTGAGTAGTGACCCAGTGACTGGTTTTTACCGGGTGTTAAGTGATCACAATTCCGGTGAATAATACAACTTGACTCATTGTATAGTGAATGATGGAAGTTACTATTAATGTGGCTATATAATTATTGCCACGTGATACAGTCAGCAAGAGTAAATCATGAAATATACTCGAAACATTTTTATGCCCGAAACGCTGTTCGTATTAGTGGTTTTTATGCATAGTATATGCTTGCCCTACCCAGAAACCCAACATTCCTCGATCCCATTTTGTATGTACGTACTTTTCCCTAAATTATTATTAGTAGTAGTAGTAGTATTGTGAAATCATTTACGTCGTTTATTTATTTATATAATTAATAAGCAGAATATACTTTGTATGTATCTTTTCTGTATTTACATATTTTTTTAAACATCAGTTTGGTAATTCACATATCGATTCTGATCGTCACTTGGGGCAAGAAATTAATTTATCTAGATAGTGTTACAGTGCAGAAAATGTTTGATCATTACAAAATAATCAGTTCCTTGTTTACTTTTGGTCAATGAAATGACCGAATGCCCTTAACAACATATATATAGTTTGTATCTTTGTAACAACCAGGTACCCATTCACTGCTGGGTGAATAGAGGCTACAGTTAGGGATTGGCGCCCAGTCAATCCTCCCCGGCCAGGATACGAACCCAGGCATAACGAGCAACCAGTCCAATCAACTAATACATCGTTATGGTATACAATGTACAAATGCAACGTGATATAAAAAGTAGTGGGTTACAAAAATCATCGTTTTCTATGCATGGTTAGCTTAGGTGGGAATGGAATCTGTGCATTTCTGGTAAAGTTAGGACGGAGGCTTTTTGTACGTGTCGCGAGGCGATTGAACGGGCTGCTTGAACACCGAGATCTGGTAGTGAGGCCGTTTATAGCGTTAAAAAGCTTTATTTGGCCCTTTATTGTTCATGAAAATGTCGCAGTTCTTTATTTTTCATAGGTATCACAATTCGTGGGTTGTCCAGATACCGCTTGTGGGCGTGCCGGGGGGTGTTGGTGGGCGCGTCCCTGGCGCTGGTGGGGGCGCTGGTGGTGTTCACAGGAATGGTCGTCGCCTCTACATTCTCATACAGCGGTAAGACCTCTACACGTGCTTTAATGATGACCCAAATATGAATAGCATTGTAATATAAAATAAATGTATGTGATGAGCCTGTGTGATTAATAATAGTCTTATGATACTTTTCAGATTATATTCTACGTGCACTAGAGGGTCCTATAGCTGCAGACGATCCGGAACTGCTTCGTTATATTCAAGAGGAGGTATTAATGTACAATGAAATCACAAGATTATATCTATGAGAAAATACTGAGGTTATGCGTGTAACTGGGAGTCTTGGGATGAGTATTATACGATTATATGATTTACCCATTGGAAAATACAAAAAATTATAAGTAAAGATCTTTACCAAATTGGCAAAATATTCTAATTTCTTCCCAAATATTATATTTGTATAATTTGTTTCTTTACTCGCTGGTGCTGCATAAATACTGTATATTAATTTATTCCTATTGTTTATAGCTGCTGAGAGCACCGTCGAGCAAGCCTTATAATATTTTGGGAGACAAAAATATTGCCAATCGTGACTATGAAGAGAGTGAAATTTTCTACAACGAATCCCTCAGAGTTCTCTTCAAGGACAAGGTTAGTACAACAAGTAGTTGTATCCCATCGTGTCTAACTGCCTGCAGTGTGTTTATAAGTTTTTAGAGAATGTGGGTGTATGTATGAATGAGGCTATGTTCTGACACCCTTCTTGAGATGATTCCCCTAAGGGAATTCTTTGTTCAAAGTTAAAATTCACGCATGGGGGGTTCCGCACCTAAGGTTCAAAAGTGTTTCTGTAGCATGGTGGGTTCTTCGTGGAAGCCGGAGCGTTGGACGGAGAGAGCATGTCGAACACGCTGTGGCTGGAACAGGAGGCGGCCTGGACGGGCCTCCTGGTGGAGCCTGATGTCCCCAACTACCTCAGCCTCGTCTCCAAGCACAGGCGATCCTGGTCCGCCAATGTTTGTCTCTCGCCCAACTCCTATCCCTCCAAGGTATGGTTGTAGTGCGTTCCTCCCCCATCTTTTCCCAATGGGTATAGTTGGGGGTTAAGCCCATCCCCCTCCAAGGTAATGCCGGGGTTTACCCCTTCCCCCATTTCTCTAAAGTATAGTTGAAGATTGGCCCACCAGTCATGAAGCATTTCAATACAAGAGACATTATACCATTATAGCAAAAGATCGAAGGTAGAGCCCACTGGGAAATATATTATCATACATAGATTACATCCGTCACAACCTCTTCTTCTTAACCCCGAAATGTTTCCCTTGCTGTCTTCTTCCCACATATGGCAGAGAATCAGTCCCATTAACGTTATTCTCCATTATAATTGAACATAAGATGTTATAATTCCAAATCTAAACATCCATCAAGTTTCGTCATCTTTCCTCTATTAATGTACCTAAATTCTGCTACTATGACTTTTCAAACCAACAAACATCGAGATTGAGGACATCGTACTGCGATGGTTTTGTCATATTGAACGAATAATGGTAGAATTGTGCAGAGAGAATTCAAGTCACAAATATTAATTTTATGTACATTACAGTATCCTAGCATAACTACTTAGAGCGCAACAAACTATCATTACGCGAGCCGAGGTGTTCCAGTAGTTAAAAATGACATGTAGGTACTTACATAATGCTAACAGCTTCATCAATACAACGTTACATTTGTTTTACAAACTGGAATATGAAGACTGATAGTGCTAACCAGACCACACACTAGAAAGTGAAGGTACGACGACGTTTCCGTCCGTCCTGGACCATTCTCAATTCGATGGTTCAGGACGGACCGAAACGTTGTCGTCCCTTCACCTTCTAGTGTGTGGTCTGGTCAGCATACTTCAGCCACGTTATTGTGACTCATCGCCTGCAAGACTAATAATGTTTTCCCGTAGGAGATGCTGACCATCATGCCTCACTTCCCCGGCCCCATGGCTGTGGCTCTGGGCTTCAAGACGAGAGCCATGCACAGCCTTACCCATTACGCCTCCGACAGGGTCAGTAGCATACTTCAGCCTCGTGTTGGGTAATGTAGATTTTGGCCTAATTCTTGTTTTGTTGAACGTAATACCTATCAACCACGGGAAGGTTATTCTGGCCACCACAATAGCTTATTGACAAATCGGAAAGCATAAAATTTAGTCTTGAACACTGTCCATGTGTCCTATATATATGGGACATATGGGCAAACCTAGACTGACAGGAGCAATGAAACTTCACGGGAGGAGTCCTTACTGATATAAACGGCCTGGGTGTTTGTGTAAGTTAATGTTACAATTGTGACTCCCGTGTTCTCTCATATAAGTGAATAGTGTCAATGAAAACGAACTTCTGATCTATGACTACTTGGTGCTGTTGGGTCATTGGATAAAAGATTCGGCTATTAACGACTTTTAACAGTCTAGCAGCCATTTGATCAGAGTACTGGACTTGTCAAGGAGTTGCATTGCTCCTGTTAATATAGGTTTGAACCTTTCATGGGATGAGTCCATTCTAATATAATCGACTAGCGCAAATTAATGTTGCACATGATAGTTTAAGCCCTCATCACGGCCCTTGTGGATTTGTTCATTTGATGCGCCACGCTATTGTGATTTCTGTGGGTAATTGGACCTTTACTTGGACAGGTAAATGGCAACTCGTGGTTCCAGAAGGTGCAGTGCATTCCGCTAGAGTCCCTCCTGCTGGCCATGGGGGTGACCCGCGTCGACCTGCTTAGCCTCGACGTTGAAGGCGCCGAGCTCGCCATCTTGGACCACTTCGACCTGAAGAAATTCGATGTTCAGGCAAGTTTCGAGCTGTTGGTAATGCAGTTGCTGTTGTAGCTCCTGCAATCGCTGTTGTAGGAACTGCAGGTGTTGCTGTAGGTAGTGTAGTTGCCGTTGTTGGCAGTGCATTTTTGTTGTAAATAGTGTATTTGCTATTGTAGGCACTGCAGTAATTGTTGAAGGTATTACCGTTGTGATGGGTACTGCAGATGGACCCGGAGAATATGTTTAAGCAGTATATCCAAAGGAGGTTAAGGAGGGTAAAGGAATTGCTCTCATCCATTCACCTTATATTTCACACTAAATGGCATCACAGAGAACAGCGCTTACACTAACCAATTTCACTCCTAATAATTATCATTTTTACGCTCTCGGCAAACTGAAAAAAAACTAGCCCAGAAGTGCTCTCGGCGGTTCGGGCGATCGAGCGGCAACACTGAAAAGTGTATCCTATTTTCACTGTCCTGACCTTAATTTTCGATGTACAAATTTCACTTTTGTACCAATGTGTTTGCAATAGAATATTCTACAAGAACATATGTATAAAATGTCACCAAAGCATGAATTAGACCACCACCAGATCAAGAAACTACGTCGATCACTAGCCGTGAGCCCCAAACAGCGACGAGATGTTTCCATTCTTTTCAGGGTTGTCAACTCCACACTTGTTCTACAGCGTTAAATTTGGTATCACTGAGATCGCAATAAAATTTCCTACACGGACATATGCATATAAATGTAGAATCATGATTGTGGCTCACCCGAAAGAGTGTGGGAAGTGTTACCCGTTACCGCACATCGACGAAACCAGTATTGAAAAGTGTATCCTATTTTCACTGTCCTGACCTTATTTTTCGATGTACAAATTTCATTTTTGTACCAATATGTTCGCAATAGAATATTCTAGAAGAACATATGTATAAAATGTCACCAAAGCATGAATTAGATCACCACCAGATCAAGAAACTACATCGATTACACTAGTCATGTCAAGAATACAATAGTCTTACCACTAGGATACAATACAATGCCGTTCTCCCAAATAGGCTATGTGACTATTAGAGAAAACGTAAATTTCATGGCAAACATGTTCATACTATCCCCAAGTCGATCGGAACAGAATTTAATTTTATAGAAATATTTGTTCATCGGTCGAGTAAATACGACGCTCGCGCGCATTCAAGAGAAAAATAGGAGTCGTTCAGATACGACCGCGGCGCGTTAAAGTGTATATTAATTGTGTATAAAGATGCCACCACAGGTCTTTTGTAATTATATGGCAGTGTCACCTCGTTATTTTTTACATATTCTCTATATCCATTTTCTGTTTTCTTTGCTGCGTTAAATATTTTTGTTATTCTTCATTTACATCTACATTTACAACTTAACCGGCATAGGCCAAATCCAGATAACGTCGCCTATATGATGATGTTACTTAAAACTAGAAGATTTTATGCTTTGTCTTAGTGGTTAGTGACATTTAGAGCCTAAGATTTACCTCTTAAGAAAATCAACAGTTTGCTGGAGAGGACTTCGGATCTTTTAACAGGTGCTGTGTATTGAATGGAAGAAAATGCACGAGTTGGACGATGTAGCTCGAAATCTGAGCTCGCGAGGCTACGTTGAGGTTGCCAGGAAACTGGAGGACCTCATACTTGTCAAGAAGGGGTCGGAGTACGAGGCTCGGCTGCGAAAGACACCTCACACCTGATAAATAGCTGTCTTGTACCTTCACTGTGGTTGCGAGTTGTTGTTTTTTTAAGTTGGTGTGTGATCTGGTGGTCCAAGGGTGCTGGTAGGGTTTGGGTCCAAGGGTGCTGGTAGGGGTTGAAAGTCAATCTGTAGCCTATTAATACAAATCTTGCGATTACCCTCGTGTCATTTAAAATAGATATTGTTTAAAATGCTGCAATCCTTGCTCAGTCATTAGGATAGGAAATCTTTAGGTATCCGAACGGAAAGGAATGGGGTCATTTGTAGCCACTAGTATCTCTAAATACCTGACTGCTAATTATAATCATCCTTTTATGCCATGAGGTGGTGGGAATTGTTAAATTAACAGTACAATGTAAAGTAGGGATTGATCTAACTGTTTTTGGTCCCTACACCAAAACAATTAAATGGACCCCACCCTCTGTTGATCGTGTACAGTACATTAATTGGACGAAAAAATAATGGGGAAGTGTTACCAAGTGACTGATTACTCCAAGTATTGATACGTGTCCATTTTATTGGTACCAAAAACAAAAGTGCTGGGATACCGAATGTCCTGGCCTACGTAGCCTATTGAGCAATACGATCCTGGTAGAGAAACGCCAAGATATATGAGTACACGGCAAGTTACTCAAGGTATTAAATCTAACAGGTATACAAGATTAGTGTTAATGAAAAATAAGACCGACAGAAGAGGTGTTAGTGAGACATAGGCGAGATGAGGTCAATGAGGTGGTGAGAATGAGAAATGTTACAACTCACACGCCGCCTCACTCGGTTTTTCTTCTATTACACCAATCATGTGTACTCTTTAAGTCTTTACATTTTTCGTTTAACTGCATTTGTATTGAAAATAAACATTTTTCGATTATAGAATTGTGTAACTTTACACATAATGTCTAGTATATTAATATATCGTAATGTTATATATATATATATATTACTACATAAAGGATTAATAAATATAATTACTAATATTACTCTCCAAGAGCCCAGAGTCTTGCAGCAAAATTATATCCCTTTGAGCCTGAGAACTTCAAAGAAACAAATCGAAGTAAATAGAAAACAAATTAATTTATCAGCTATTAATTCTTTTCCAAATAAACAATTTTACTGTCAATAATATTAATATTTGTTGCAATATATTTTGTTCAAGATGATAACTGTAACATCCGAGCAGAAGTGATTAGGCATTGTTTTCTTTCTTGTAACGCCACTGTTCGCCTAGCAGTAACTAGGAGCTAGGAAACTATTGAGGTTACACCCTGGGAAAGGGCAACAGTTCGGCCTTGGGAGGTACCTTGATACAAGTCTATAGTGTATATATACACAGACTGCCTGTCCCCCCAACAAATTATCAAATTAACTAACAATACAAATTGTACAAACACATTATGTCATAGCTTCATACGGCCTTGTGGCGCAACGGATAACGCGTCTGACTACGGATCAGAAGATTCCAGGTTCGAATCCTGGCAAGGTCGCAAAAATATTTTCGGGAACTACGTGAAAAACCTTTAATATATTTAAAGCCGCTACCTTCCTGCCCGCCGTCGATTCCTGCTAGAGATCATGGCGGCCCTCACAGAATTGAGCTAAGAAATTCAATTAATAGAGTTAATCCTATAAGTTGTCTCGTTTTCTATAATTCGATATTGATCAAGCAGATATAATAGTTTCCCCTTTGTCGGGGACAGGAAGCTTGTGTATATTTTGTTATTATTTTGTTATACAGTTTACTATATACAGTATATATATTTGCAGGCATTTTTTAGGTCAACCCCCACAACATTTAACTAACTTCCGGGTACCTATTTACTGCTAGATGAACATTAGGTAAATAAATAGAATACGTGCCCACCCATTTCTGGCTTCAATCAGTATTACTACAAAATAGACTTCAAATACTATTATTATATAAGATCATCTTACTGTTTTGAAGACATTGACAGCACCCACGTAAACTACACACAAGGGAACGCCGTGAAAAATATTTTCGCGACCTTGCCAGGATTCGAACCTGGAATCTTCTGATCCGTAGTCAGACGCGTTATCCGTTGCGCCACAAGGCCGTATGAAGTGAGCAAAATAAATTGCGTATACTAATTTTTGCTATATAGTCGAAATGGCTTGACGCTTTCTCCTGAAAAAAAAAAATTATTTATACTAATTTACTGGCAGCAGTAGAGGCTTGTATGTCTATATGTATTAACACGATGTACTGAACGGGGTGAGAATAGCTTGAGCTACCTCATCCCTTTGTGTGTATTTTACCTCAATAAACTTATTTCAATTTCAATTTTCAATTTCAGTAGAGGCTTGATTGGCTTGTATTTTTACGTGTCCATATTCGAACCCCAGTTGGAAACAGACCCAACTATAGGATGGGTTAACCCAAGTATCGCGCTTCCAAAAGGGTCGCCCAAGTTGGAAAAGACGAACGCTGAAAGAATATTGTTGAAAACATCTTGATAACTGATTAAACCAAAATTATTTATTAGTCAGAAGAAAGACAGAAACGCGATCTATATGTAAAACCTCTACCAGACAAATATTTTAAGTAAAACCGAAGATATTTGTAGTTGTATAAAAGTGGCAGTTTTCATCTGGCCTGCTCTATATATATATATATATATATATATATATATATATATATATATATATATATATATATATATATATATATATATATATATATATATATATATATATATATATATATATATACACACACACACTCGGTTCGAAATAAGTATTAATATTGCGCGTCTCAGCAGCACTATTTATCGCGCTTGACCTCGACTGGTTTATTTGACTGCTTAATCATATATAAAATATATTCAATGTTTATTAAAAAAAAGTAGTACAACACAATCGAAGTTATTGGGGGCTGTTATCAAAGCTGTGTTAGTGTCTTAAATAGCCTGGTTTGGTGATGGTCTTAATGGCCTACCAACTGCAACAGGAATATTAAAGCCTCCGCAATAGTTAATTAACCATCCACACATAACGTTTTCTTTGGTATTAAAGATGGCACCAGGTCTAATGACCTCTATACCAAGTGTATATACATTTCAAAATGAAGTACACATAATGTATTTTATATAAATATTCTTTTGTTTTAGATTCAGCTACTCGGAACAAAACGTTCCAAGCAGCACGGGCTATGGTGAGCGCGTAATGGGCTTTTTATTCTCGTTAGCAAAGTTTGATTATGTAGTGGTGTGACTGCTGACTTCCGGGTGGGTGCATCCGTTACGTCGTCACTGGCTATCCCACTGTTGACATTATCTGTTCTGACCTTGTGACGTCTGGAGTCGCTATTATAAACAGAGTTGGCGTCATCAGTAACATTTTCGAATTTGTTATAATTATGTACAAGAGGTTTTATGATAAATGCTACATGATATATGTTACTTTATGTGATATAAACTGAATCATGAATGTTCTAGTTATGCCAAATGTTTACATGATACGTTCTCTGTAACTTCTCTACTCCATCCTGCCTATCCTATACCAACATAAAAATATCTTGGTTAAAAAACATAAGCTTCCACCCACCATTCCTACTCCTCCCCCACACAGTGCTTGGCATTATGCCTGGCCTCGCCTCCTAACCTTGGGTGGCTGCGTATCGCACCTCGCACGTGTCTTGTGCTCTCTGTATCTACTCATTCCTTGTTTTCAGTGGACTCTCGACCCTTCTGCGACACCACACAATTAGGTATACTACTTTTACCCGATGCTTTTGTTCAGCACGGGAGACATCCCCCGTCACGCAGGGTGCAGTCGCACCTCCACAGATCTCCAGTATCAGCTATTGATACTGGTAATGGCTCAAAAGTGCCATCACTTACGGGCTTATTCATGCCCGTGCCACCTTTTGGGTGGCTTAATCTTCATCAATCAATCAATCTTTTGTTCACCTAGCAGTAAATAACTACCTGGGAATTAGACAGCTGCCGTAGGCTGTATCCTGAGAATTTGTGCATGTGAGAGCAATATACCATAGCTATGGTAGAGAAATTTAATCAGGAATCAGTACATTGAATAACCAACGGTTAGAAAGGCGGGGTCCAAGAGCTACTAGCTCGATTCAACAGACACAAATAGTAAATAAATACACACACTGTACCTCTAAGTCATAGAGATGTTAGAAAGTTTTCTTTTAGAGTGAGAGCAATGGGGAAATGGAATGAACTAAAGGACACACTAACACTATTCATAGTTTTAAAACTAGGCATGATAGAGAAGTAGGACAGGAGTCATTGCTTTAAACAACCGAAGGCGGGATCCAAGAGCCAATACTCGATCCTGCAGACACAAATAGGTGAGTACACACAAAAATCAGGAATCTGTACACCAGTTGACGGGTGAGGCGGGACCAAGGAGCCGAAGCTCAACCCCCCCTCAAGCACAATTAGGCGAGTATAAACAGAAAGCGTCGCACACAAAGTGCGACGCTTACGAACATTGCTAGTGCCTTCAGTGCCTATTATATACAACCTATGTTAGGCCAGCACTAGACTATGTAGCCCTTGCGTGGAATCCCCACATGAAGCCCAGTCCGTCCTCTCAACTAGTAGGTCGAGGTTTCGTTATGATATGGACACCAACGTTAAAAATGCAACAGACTATGAAAAGTAACGGCTCACAAGTATCTGAGTTTTCTATGCGTCAAAATCTATAGGTAATGTGAATTGCTTGGTTTCGTACTACTGACAATGTGTGTACATACAGGCATGTACCAGCTCCAGCGTACGAGTCCCATTCGGGACACTTTCCACCTCCCGGAGGAGACAGCATTCATTCGGATACTCAAGACCCGCCTTATACGTGAAGTGACGTCGTAGAAGGGCCTCAGGGAACTCAATTGCAGCACCATGCACCGCAACATAAGTAGTCTCACTGCACCGGTCCGACATTTCCACCGAACCACCACCCTCAAGCAGCAGGAAGGACCGTCCGTCATATCGTTCCGCAAAATCTTGGTAAACAGCCGCGGAGCCGAACTTCGCCACAGCCCGACGACCGGACACAAGCTGCACGCCACAGAGCGCCGTCGCATCCACCCTCAAAAGATCCAACAGGACCAGCTTCATCTGCCGGGTAGGACGCCTGGCTGTTCAACTCCAGCACAATCGTATCCCTCCGATTCACAGAGGAGCAAGGGCACCGTCATCCCCCCAGCCGGAACGGCCCCAAGGCCCCGCTCACAAACACGAACAGTCACTGGCCGGCAAAACCTGAAGCTCACAGTGCCGCGTCCACCGCCACCAGTGTCCAGGCGAGCAATCATTGGTGCAATTTATCTGTAGAGCGAGTTTTCTATCCCTCTCAACCTCCATAAAGCTCCTATGCCAACAGGGAATTCGAACGCTAAATGGTATTATATGGTACTTACCCTTGTGGTGATAGCCTGGAGCACTTCCCTTGTGAGATATGGCAGAAGATATCGTGTTATGGCGCTGAAATATTTACTTCACGACACTCGTCACTATTCAGATACACATGTGTGGTGAAGCTAGTGCAATGACCGCATTGCACTAGCAAGATTAACTATATGTACACCAAAAAAGTGTACTCCACTTCACGATGTATTTGATCTGAGTTTTCTATAGCTCAAGACTAAAATATTTTTGCTGGTGGGTCAGTAATTGTGGTTGTCTTAATAACACCCCACAGTTTGATAGGCCTCAAGCACAACACCAAACGACAATTACCAGTGCCTGGGAAAGTAACCTTTATCAGCCGGGTGAATTGAACTAAAATATCCACCGAATCAGCAACAGAATACGCAGTAGTTATGATAGATTGCAGACCAGACGCATTTTCAGTCTATCAAGGTGTATGTTTTAGCTGAAGTTCACG